TCAAGTGTAGTATCTGTTCTTATCAGTTTAATATCTGATATGTCCTCTATATGAGGACGACATATTAAACAGAATTTTTGTATTAAGGGGTTGAAAGAGGAGCTTGCTCTCTTCACCCCACGCATCGACCTAGCGCTGCAGTGCAGCTGGGAGTGGTGCACTCTCTGATGTGGAAAAGCAATCTCACAAATTATACAAGGCACAAGGTTTCTAAGAGCCTGTATAAAATTTCAATGCCCAGCCACAGAGGTGAAAAAGAGAATTCTGGCACAATTAAACATGTCTGGAATGAGCACTGGGCACAGTTGTGTAGGAAGTATTTCTTTGAAAGTTTTACAACAAATCGGCCTTTACTTGCCAAAGTCCGAACAATGCATAAACCGGTCATCCAAGTAGACAACGGGTCAGGGCTCACACTTCTTGTCCTTGTGGAAAAACAAGGGATAAGTATGGCTAAGAACTTTCTTTAAAACCGAAACTAGATAAGGCATGGAAATAAATTAGACTGGGCCGGGCTCCTGATTTTGTTCCAGGAAGGTTCACCGTAACAAAAACAGCTAGGCCCGCTTGCTGTCTGGATTATGAGGACAATAAAGCAACTTGTACTGTGGTTTCTCTTCAGTCCGCATAAGTCTTTCGCTTTTTACTAAAGACTACCGTGGAGCGTGACATTAATGAGCATAAGCAATTTTTGCCAGGCTCTTCCTCTTGGCTATGCCTCTGTTTGGTTGTGCTATGTAATAAAAGCTCTTGTGTGGCCTTTCAAATTGCAAGTGGATGGGTCGAAATTGTTCTTTGAATCCCTCTCATATCTGCTTCTGACTGCATCACTATTTAGACAGCAGTAAACTATTTAGGGCTGCTTACCCTAACCTTTGCGTGGGCGGAGGTGCAAAGTGGCCGATGTCTGCTCCAAGTCACCACTACACTGTGATCTGTGGTCAGCGAGGCCCACGATCCAGCTAGGAGTCACTGTTATCGCTTCTCGGCCTTTTGGCTAAGATCAAGTGTAGTATCTGTTCTTATCAGTTTAATATCTGATATGTCCTCTATATGAGGACGACATATTAAACAGATTTTTTGTATTAAGGTGTTGAACGAAGAGCTTGCTCTCTTCACCCCACGCATCGACCTAGCACTGCAGTGCAGCTGGGAGTGGTGCACTCTCTGATGTTGTGGTAAAGCAATCCCACAAATTATACAAGGCACAAGGTTTCTAAGAGCCTGTATAAATTTTCAATGCCCAGCCACAGAGGTGAAAAAGAGAATTCTGGCACAATTAAACATGTCTGGAATGAGCACTGGGCACAAATGTGTAGGAAGTATTTCTTTGAAAGTTTTACAACAAATCGGCCTTTACTTGCCAAAGTCCGAACAATGCATAAACCGGTCATCCAAGTAGACAACGGGTCAGGGCTCACACTTCTTGTCCTCGTGGAAAAACAAGGGATAAGTATGGCTAAGAACTTTCTTTAAAACCGAAACTAGATAAGGCATGGAAATAAATTAGACTGGGCCGGGCTCCTGATTTTGTTCCAGGAAGGTTCACCGTAACAAAAACAGCTAGGCCCGCTTGCTGTCTGGATTATGAGGACAATAAAGCAACTTGTACTGTGGTTTCTCTTCAGTCCGCATAAGTCTTTCGCCTTTTACTAAAGACTACCGTGGAGAGTGACATTAATGAGCATAAGCAATTTTTGCCAGGCTCTGCCTCTTGGCTATGCCTCTGTTTGGTTGTGCAATGTAATAAAAGCTCTTGTGTGGCCTTTCAAATTGCAATTGGATGGGTCGAAATTGTTCTTTGAATCCCTCTCATATCTGCTTCTGACTGCATCACTATTTAGACCGCAGTAAACTATTTAGGGCTGCTTACCCTAACCTTTGCGTGGGCGGAGGTGCAAAGTGGCCGATGTCTGCTCCAAGTCACCACTACACTGTGATCTGTGGTCAGCGAGGCCCACGATCCAGCTAGGAGTCACTGTTATCGCTTCTCGGCCTTTTGGCTAAGATCAAGTGTAGTATCTGTTCTTATCAGTTTAATATCTGATATGTCCTCTATATGAGGACGACATATTAAACAGATTTTTTGTATTAAGGGGTTGAATGAGGAGCTTGCTCTCTTCACCCCAAGCATCGACCTAGCACTGCAGTGCAGCTGGGAGTGGTGCACTCTCTGATGTTGTGGAAAATCAATCCCACAAATTATACAAGGCACAAGGTTTCTAAGAGCCTGTATAAAATTTCAATGCCCAGCCACGGAGGTGAAAAAGAGCATTCTGGCACTATTAAACATGTCTGCAATGAACACTGGGCACAGTTGTGTGGGAAGTATTTCTTTGAAAGTTTTACAACAAATCGGCCTTTACTTGCCAAAGTCCGAACAATGCATAAACCGGTCATCCAAGTAGACAACGGGTCAGGGCTCACACTTCTTGTCCTCGTGGAAAAACAAGGGATAAGTATGGCTAAGAACTTTCTTTAAAACCGAAACTAGATAAGGCATGGAAATAAATTAGACTGGGCCGGGCTCCTGATTTTGTTCCAGGAAGGTTCACCGTAACAAAAACAGCTAGGCCCGCTTGCTGTCTGGATTATGAGGACAATAAAGCAACATGTACTCTGGTTTCTCTCAGTCCGCATAAGTCTTTCGCCTTTTACTAAAGACTTCCGTGGAGAGTGACATTAATGAGCATAAGCAATTTTTGCCAGGCTCTGCCTCTTGGCTATGCCTCTGTTTGGTTGTGCAATGTAATAAAAGCTCTTGTGTGGCCTTTCAAATTGCAAGTGGATGGGTCGAAATTGTTCTTTGAATCCCTCTCATATCTGCTTCTGACTGCATCACTATTTAGACAGCAGTAAACTATTTAGGGCTGCTTACCCTAACCTTTGCGTGGGCGGAGGTGCAAAGTGGCCGATGTCTGCTCCAAGTCACCACTACACTGTGATCTGTGGTCAGCGAGGCCCACGATCCAGCTAGGAGTCACTGTTATCGCTTCTCGGCCTTTTGGCTAAGATCAAGTGTAGGATCTGTTCTTATCAGTTTAATATCTGATATGTCCTCTATATGAGGACGACATATTAAACAGATTTTTTGTATTAAGGGGTTGAAAGAGGAGCTTGCTCTCTTCACCCCATGCATCGACCTAGCGCTGCAGTGCAGCTGGGAGTGGTGCACTCTCTGATGTTGTGGTAAAGCAATCCCACAAATTATACAAGGCACAAGGTTTCTAAGAGCCTGTATAAATTTTCAATGCCCAGCCACAGAGGTGAAAAAGAGAATTCTGGCACAATTAAACATGTCTGGAATGAGCACTGGGCACAAATGTGTAGGAAGTATTTCTTTGAAAGTTTTACAACAAATCGGCCTTTACTTGCCAAAGTCCGAACAATGCATAAACCGGTCATCCAAGTAGACAACGGGTCAGGGCTCACACTTCTTGTCCTCGTGGAAAAACAAGGGATAAGTATGGCTAAGAACTTTCTTTAAAACCAAAACTAGATAAGGCATGGAAATAAATTAGACTGGGCCGGGCTCCTGATTTTGTTCCAGGAAGGTTCACCGTAACAAAAACAGCTAGGCCCGCTTGCTGTCTGGATTATGAGGACAATAAAGCAACTTGTACTGTGGTTTCTCTTCAGTCCGCATAAGTCTTTCGCCTTTTACTAAAGACTACCGTGGAGAGTGACATTAATGAGCATAGGCAATTTTTGCCAGGCTCTGCCTCTTGGCTATGCCTCTGTTTGGTTGTGCAATGTAATAAAAGCTCTTGTGTGGCCTTTCAAATTGCAAGTGGATGGGTCGAAATTGTTCTTTGAATCCCTCTCATATCTGCTTCTGACTGCATCACTATTTAGACCGCAGTAAACTATTTAGGGCTGCTTACCCTAACCTTTGCGTGGGCGGAGGTGCAAAGTGGCCGATGTCTGCTCCAAGTCACCACTACACTGTGATCTGTGGTCAGCGAGGCCCACGATCCAGCTAGGAGTCACTGTTATCGCTTCTCGGCCTTTTGGCTAAGATCAAGTGTAGTATCTGTTCTTATCAGTTTAATATCTGATATGTCCTCTATATGAGGACGACATATTAAACAGATTTTTTGTATTAAGGGGTTGAAAGAGGAGCTTGCTCTCTTCACCCCATGCATCGACCTAGCGCTGCAGTGCAGCTGGGAGTGGTGCACTCTCTGATGTTGTGGTAAAGCAATCCCACAAATTATACAAGGCACAAGGTTTCTAAGAGCCTGTATAAATTTTCAATGCCCAGCCACAGAGGTGAAAAAGAGAATTCTGGCACTATTAAACATGTCTGCAATGAACACTGGGCACAGTTGTGTGGGAAGTATTTCTTTGAAAGTTTTACAACAAATCGGCCTTTACTTGCCAAAGTCCGAACAATGCATAAACCGGTCATCCAAGTAGACAACGGGTCAGGGCTCACACTTCTTGTCCTCGTGGAAAAACAAGGGATAAGTATGGCTAAGAACTTTCTTTAAAACCGAAACTAGATAAGGCATGGAAATAAATTAGACTGGGCCGGGCTCCTGATTTTGTTCCAGGAAGGTTCACCGTAACAAAAACAGCTAGGCCCGCTTGCTGTCTGGATTATGAGGACAATAAAGCAACATGTACTCTGGTTTCTCTTCAGTCCGCATAAGTCTTTCGCCTTTTACTAAAGACTTCCGTGGAGAGTGACATTAATGAGCATAAGCAATTTATGCCAGGCTCTGCCTCTTGGCTATGCCTCTGTTTGGTTGTGCAATGTAATAAAAGCTCTTGTGTGGCCTTTCAAATTGCAAGTGGATGGGTCGAAATTGTTCTTTGAATCCCTCTCATATCTGCTTCTGACTGCATCACTATTTAGACAGCAGTAAACTATTTAGGGCTGCTTACCCTAACCTTTGCGTGGGCGGAGGTGCAAAGTGGCCGATGTCTGCTCCAAGTCACCACTACACTGTGATCTGTGGTCAGCGAGGCCCACGATCCAGCTAGGAGTCACTGTTATCTCTTTTCGGCCTTTTGGCTAAGATCAAGTGTAGTATCTGTTCTTATCAGCTTAATATCTGATATGTCCTCTATATGAGGACGACATATTAAACAGATTTTTTTGTATCAAGGGGTTGAAAGAGGAGCTTGCTCTCTTCACCCCAAGCATCGACCTAGCGCTGCAGTGCAGCTGGGAGTGGTGCACTCTCTGATGTTGTGGAAAAGCAATCCCACAAATTTTACAAGGCACAAGGTTTCTAAGAGCCTGTATAAAATTTCAATGCCCAGCCACGGAGGTGAAAAAGAGCATTCTGGCACAATTAAACATGTCTGCAAGAAGCACTGGGCACAGTTGTGTGGGAAGTATTTCTTTGAAAGTTTTACAACAAATCGGCCTTTACTTGCCAAAGTCCGAACAATGCATAAACCGGTCATCCAAGTAGACAACGGGTCAGGGCTCACACTTCTTGTCCTTGTGGAAAAACAAGGGATAAGTATGGCTAAGAACTTTCTTTAAAACCGAAACTAGATAAGGCATGGAAATAAATTAGACTGGGCCGGGCTCCTGATTTTGTTCCAGGAAGGTTCACCGTAACAAAAACAGCTAGGCCCGCTTGCTGTCTGGATTATGAGGACAATAAAGCAACATGTACTCTGGTTCCTCTTCAGTCCGCATAAGTCTTTCGCCTTTTATTAAAGACTTCCGTGGAGAGTGACAGTAATGAGCATAAGCAATTTTTGCTAGGCTTTGCCTCTTGGCTATGCCTCTGTTTGGTTGTGCAATGTAACAAAAGCTCTTGTGTGGCCTTTAAAATTGCAAGTGGATGGGTCGAAATTGTTCTTTGAATCCCTCTCATATCTGCTTCTGACTGCATCACTATTTAGACAGCAGTAAACTATTTAGGGCTGCTTACCCTAACCTTTGCGTGGGCGGAGGTGCAAAGTGGCTGATGTCTGCTCCAAGTCACCACTACACTGTGATCTGTGGTCAGCGAGGCCCACGATCCAGCTAGGAGTCACTGTTATCGCTTCTCGGCCTTTTGGCTAAGATCAAGTGTAGTATCTGTTCTTATCAGTTTAATATCTGATATGTCCTCTATATGAGGACGACATATTAAACAGATTTTTTGTATTAAGGGGTTGAACGAGGAGCTTGCTCTCTTCACCCCAAGCATCGACCTAGCACTGCAGTGCAGCTGGGAGTGGTGCACTCTCTGATGTTGTGGAAAATCAATCCCACAAATTATACAAGGCACAAGATTTCTAAGAGCCTGTATAAAATTTCAATGCCCAGCCACGGAGGTGAAAAAGAGCATTCTGGCACAATTAATGTCTGCAAGAAGCACTGGGCACAGTTATGTGGGAAGTATTTCTTTGAAAGTCTTACAACAAATCGGCCTTTACTTGCCAAAGTCCGAACAATGCATAAACCGGTCATCCAAGTAGACAACGGGTCAGGGCTCACACTTCTTGTCCTTGTGGAAAAACAAGGGATAAGTATGGCTAAGAGCTTTCTTTAAAACCGAAACTAGATAAGGCATGGAAATAAATTAGACTGGGCCGGGCTCCTGATTTTGTTCCAGGAAGATTCACCGTAACAAAAACAGCTAGGCCCGCTTGCTGTCTGGATTATGAGGACAATAAAGCAACTTGTACTGTGGTTTCTCATCAGTCCGCAATAGTCTTTCGCCTTTTACTAAAGACTTCCGTGGAGAGTGACATTAATGAGCATAAGCAATTTTTGCCAAGCTTTGCGTCTTGGCTATGCCTCTGTTTGGTTGTGCAATGTAATAAAAGCTCTTGTGTGACCTTTCAAATTGCAAGTGGATGGGTCGAAATTGTTCTTTGAATCCCTCTCATATCTGCTTCTGACTGCATCACTATTTAGACAGCAGTAAACTATTTAGGGCTGCTTACCCTAACCTTTGCGTGGGCGGAGGTGCAAAGTGGCTGATGTCTGCTCCAAGTCACCACTACACTGTGATCTGTGGTCAGCGAGGCCCACGATCCAGCTAGGAGTCACTGTTATCGCTTCTCGGCCTTTTGGCTAAGATCAAGTGTAGTATCTGTTCTTATCAGTTTAATATCTGATATGTCCTCTATATGAGGACGACATATTAAACAGATTTTTTGTATTAAGGGGTTGAACGAGGAGCTTGCTCTCTTCACCCCAAGCATCGACCTAGCACTGCAGTGCAGCTGGGAGTGGTGCACTCTCTGATGTTGTGGAAAAGTAATACCACAAATTATACAAGGCACAAGGTTTCTAAGAGCCTGTATAAAATTTCAATGCCCAGCCACGGAGGTGAAAAAGAGCATTCTGGCACAATTAAACATGTCTGCAATGAGCACTGGACACAGTTGTTTGGGAAGTATTTCTTTGAAAGTTTTACAACAAATCGGCCTTTACTTGCCAAAGTCCGAACAATGCATAAACCGGTCATCCAAGTAGACAACGGGTCAAGGCTCACACTTCTTGTCCTCTTGGAAAAACAAGGGATAAGGATGGCTAAGAACTTTCTTTATAACCGAAACTAGATAAGGCATGGAAATAAATTAGACTGGGCCGGGCTCCTGATTTTGTTCCAGGAAGGTTCACCGTAACAAAAACAGCTAGGCTCGCTTGCTGTCTGGATTATGAGGACAATAAAGCAACATGTACTCTGGTTTCTCTTCAATCCGCATAAGTCTTTCGCCTTTTACTAAAGACTTCTGTGGAAAGTGACATTAATGAGCATAAGCAATTTATGCCAGGCTTTGCCTCTTGGCTATGCCTCTGTTTGGTTGTGCAATGTAATAAAAGCTCTTGCGTGGCCTTTCAAATTGCAAGTGGATGGGTCGAAATTGTTCTTTGAATCCCTCTCATATCTGCTTCTGACTGCATCACTATTTAGACAGCAGTAAACTATTTAGGGCTGCTTACCCTAACCTTTGCGTGGGCGGAGGTGCAAAGTGGCCGATGTCTGCTCCAAGTCACCACTACACTGTGATCTGTGGTCAGCGAGGCCCACGATCCAGCTAGGAGTCACTGTTATCGCTTCTCGGCCTTTTGGCTAAGATCAAGTGTAGTATCTGTTCTTATCAGTTTAATATCTGATATGTCCTCTATATGAGGACGACATATTAAACAGATTTTTGTATTAAGGGGTTGAACGAGGAGCTTGCTCTCTTCACCCCAAGCATCGACCTAGCACTGCAGTGCAGCTGGGAGTGGTGCACTCTCTGATGTTGTGGAAAATCAATCTCACAAATTATACAAGGCACAAGGTTTCTAAGAGCCTGTATAAAATTTCAATGCCCAGCCATGGAGGTGAAAAAGAGCATTCTGGCACAATTAAACATGTCTGGAATGAGCACTGGGCACAGTTGTGTAGGAAGTATTTCTTTGAACGTTTTACAACAATCGGCCTTTACTTGCCAAAGTCCGAACAATGCATAAACCGGTCATCCAAGTAGACAACGGGTCAGGGCTCACACTTCTTGTCCTCGTGGAAAAACAAGGGATAAGTATGGCTAAGAACTTTCTTTAAAACCGAAACTAGATAAGGCATGGAAATAAATTAGACTGGGCCGGGCTCCTGATTTTGTTCCAGGAAGGTTCACCGTAACAAAAACAGCTAGGCCCGCTTGCTGTCTGGATTATGAGGACAATAAAGCAACATGTACTCTGGTTCCTCTTCAGTCCGCATAAGTCTTTCGCCTTTTACTAAAGACTTCCGTGGAGAGTGACATTAATGAGCATAAGCAATTTTTGCCAGGCTTTGCCTCTTGGCTATGCCTCTGTTTGGTTGTGCAATGTAATAAAAGCTCTTGTGTGGCCTTTCAAATTGCAAATGGATGGGTCGAAATTGTTCTTTGAATCCCTCTCATATCTGCTTCTGACTGCATCACTATTTAGACAGCAGTAAACTATTTAGGGCTGCCTACCCTAACCTTTGCGTGGAGGGAGGTGCAAAGTGGCCGATGTCTGCTCCAAGTCACCACTACAATGTGATCTGTGGTCAGCGAGGCCCACGATCCAGCTAGGAGTCACTGTTATCGCTTCTCGGCCTTTTGGCTAAGATCAAGTGTAGTATCTGTTCTTATCAGTTTAATATCTGATATGTCCTCTATATGAGGACGAAATATTAAACAGAATTTTTGTATTAAGGGGTTGAAAGAGGAGCTTGCTCTCTTCACCCCACGTATCGACCTAGCGCTGCAGTGCAGCTGGGAGTGGTGCACTCTCTGATGTGGAAAAGCAATCTCACAAATTATACAAGGCACAAGGTTTCTAAGAGCCTGTATAAAATTTCAATGCCCAGCCACAGAGGTGAAAAAGAGAATTCTGGCACAATTAAACATGTCTGGAATGAGCACTGGGCACAGTTGTGTAGGAAGTATTTCTTTGAAAGTTTTACAACAAATCGGCCTTTACTTGCCAAAGTCCGAACAATGCATAAACCGGTCATCCAAGTAGACAACGGGTCAGGGCTCACACTTCTTGTCCTTGTGGAAAAACAAGGGATAAGTATGGCTAAGAAATTTCTTTAAAACCGAAACTAGATAAGGCATGGAAATAAATTAGACTGGGCCGGGCTCCTGATTTTGTTCCAGGAAGGTTCACCGTAACAAAAACAGCTAGGCCCGCTTGCTGTCTGGATTATGAGGACAATAAAGCAACTTGTACTGTGGTTTCTCTTCAGTCCGCATAAGTCTTTCGCCTTTTACTAAAAATTTCCGTGGAGAGTGACATTAATGAGCATAAGCAATTTTTGCCAGGCTCTTCCTCTTGGCTATGCCTCTGTTTGGTTATGCAATGTAATAAAAGCTCTTGTGTGGCCTTTCAAATTGCAAGTGGATGGGTCGAAATTGTTCTTTGAATCCCTCTCATATCTGCTTCTGACTGCATCACTATTTAGACAGCAGTAAACTATTTAGGGCTGCTTACCCTAACCTTTGTGTAGGCGGAGGTGCAAAGTGGCCGATGTCTGCTCCAAGTCACCACTACACTGTGATCTGTGGTCAGCGAGGCCCACGATCCAGCTAGGAGTCACTGTTATCGCTTCTCGGCCTTTTGGCTAAGATCAAGTGTAGTATCTGTTCTTATCAGTTTAATATCTGATATGTCCTCTATATGAGGACGACATATTAAACAGATTTTTTGTATTAAGGTGTAGAACGGAGAGCTTGCTCTCTTCACCCCAAGCATCGACCTAGCACTGCAGTGCAGCTGGGAGTGGTGCACTCTCTGATGTTGTGGAAAATCAATCCCACAAATTATACAAGGCACAAGGTTTCTAAGAGCCTGTATAAAATTTCAATGCCCAGCCACGGAGGTGAAAAAGAGCATTCTCGCACTATTAAACATGTCTGCAATGAACACTGGGCACAGTTGTGTGGGAAGTATTTCTTTGAAAGTTTTACAAGAAATCGGCCTTTACTTGCCAAAGTCCGAACAATGCATAAACCGGTCATCCAAGTAGACAACGGGTCAGGGCTCACACTTCTTGTCCTTGTGGAAAAACAAGGGATAAGTATGGCTAAGAAATTTCTTTAAAACCGAAACTAGATAAGGCATGGAAATAAATTAGACTGGGCCGGGCTCCTGATTTTGTTCCAGGAAGGTTCACCGTAACAAAAACAGCTAGGCCCGCTTGCTGTCTGGATTATGAGGACAATAAGGCAACATGTACTCTGGTTCCTCTTCAGTCCGCATAAGTCTTTCGCCTTTTACTAAAGACTTCCGTGGAGAGTGACATTAATGAGCATAAGCAATTTTTGCCAGGCTTTGCCTCTTGGCTATGCCTCTGTTTGGTTGTGCAATGTAATAAAAGCTATTGTGTGGCCTTTCAAATTGCAAGTGGATGGGTCGAAATTGTTCTTTGAATCCCTCTCATATCTGCTTCTGACTGCATCACTATTTAGACAGCAGTAAACTATTTAGGGCTGCTTACCCTAACCTTTGTGTGGGCGGAGGTGCAAAGTGGCTGATGTCTGCTCCAAGTCACCACTACACTGTGATCTGTGGTCAGCGAGGCCCACGATCCAGCTAGGAGTCACTGTTATCGCTTCTCGGTCTTTTGGCTAAGATCAAGTGTAGTATCTGATATGTCCTCTTTATGAGGACGACATATTAAAAAGAATTTTTGTATTAAGGGGTTGAAAGAGGAGCTTGCTCTCTTCATCCCACGCATCGACCTAGCGCTGCAGTGCAGCTGGGAGTGGTGCACTCTCTGATGTGGAAAAGCATTCTCACAAATTATACAAGGCACAAGGTTTCTGAGAGCCTGTATAAAATTTCAATGCCCAGCCACGGAGGTGAAAAAGAGCATTCTGGCACAATTGAACATGTCTGCAATGAGCACTGGACACAGTTGTTTGGGAAGTATTTCTTTGAAAGTTTTACTACAAATCGGCCTTTACTTGCCAATGTCCGAACAATGCATAAACCGGTCATCCAAGTAGACAACGGGTCAGGGCTCACACTTCTTGTCCTCTTGGAAAAACAAGGGATAAGGATGGCTAAGAACTTTCTTTATAACCGAAACTAGATAAGGCATGGAAATAAATTAGACTGGGCCGGGCTCCTGATTTTGTTCCAGGAAGGTTCACCGTAACAAAAACAGCTAGGCTCCCTTGCTGTCTGGATTATGAGGACAATAAAGCAACATGTACTCTGGTTTCTCTTCAATCCGCATAAGTCTTTCGCCTTTTACTAAAGACTTCCATGGAAAGTGACATTAATGAGCATAAGCAATTTATGCCAGGCTTTGCCTCTTGGCTATGCCTCTGTTTGGTTGTGCAATGTAATAAAAGCTCTTGCGTGGCCTTTCAAATTGCAAGTGGATGGGTCGAAATTGTTCTTTGAATCCCTCTCATATCTGCTTCTGACTGCATCACTATTTAGACAGCAGTAAACTATTTAGGGCTGCTTACCCTAACCTTTGCGTGGGCGGAGGTGCAAAGTGGCCGATGTCTGCTCCAAGTCACCACTACACTGTGATCTGTGGTCAGCGAGGCCCACGATCCAGCTAGGAGTCACTGTTATCGCTTCTCGGCCTTTTGGCTAAGAACAAGTGTAGTATCTGTTCTTATCAGTTTAATATCTGATATGTCCTTTATATGAGGACGACATATTAAACAGATTTTTTGTATTAAGGGGTTGAAAGAGGAGCTTGCTCTCTTCACCCCATGCATCGACCTAGCGCTGTTGTGCAGCTGGGAGTGGTGCACTCTCTGATGTTGTGGTAAAGCAATCCCATAAATTATACAAGGCACAAGGTTTCTAAGAGCCTGTATAAAATTTCAATGCCCAACCACAGAGGTGAAAAAGAGAATTCTGGCACAATTAAACATGTCTGGAATGAGCACTGGGCACAAATGTGTAGGAAGTATTTCTTTGAAAGTTTTACAACAAATCGGCCTTTACTTGCCAAAGTCCGAACAATGCATAAACCGGTCATCCAAGTAGACAACGGGTCAGGGCTCACACTTCTTGTCCTTGTGGAAAAACAAGGGATAAGTATGGCTAAGAACTTTCTTTAAAACCGAAACTAGATAAGGCATGGAAATAAATTAGACTGGGCCGGGCTCCTGATTTTGTTCCAGGAAGGTTCACCGTAACAAAAACAGCTAGGCCCGCTTGCTGTCTGGATTATGAGGACAGTAAAGCAACATGTACTCTGGTTCCTCTTCAGTCCGCAATAGTCTTTCGCCTTTTACTAAAGACTTCCGTGGAGAGTGACATTAATGAGCATAAGCAATTTTTGCCAGGCTTTGCCTCTTGGCTATGCCTCTGTTTGGTTGTGCAATGTAATAAAAGCTCTTGTGTGGCCTTTCAAATTGCAAGTGGATGGGTCGAAATTGTTCTTTGAATCCCTCTCATATCTGCTTCTGACTGCATCACTATTTAGACAGCAGTAAACTATTTAGGGCTGCTTACCTTAACCTTTGCGTGGGCGGAGGTGCAAAGTGGCCGATGTCTGCTCCAAGTCACCACTACACTGTGATCTGTGGTCAGCGAGGCCCACGATCCAGCTAGGAGTCACTGTTATCGCTTCTCGGCCTTTTGGCTAAGATCAAGTGTAGTATCTGTTCTTATCAGTTTAATATCTGATATGTCCTCTATATGAGGACGACATATTAAACAGATTTTTTGTATTAAGGGGTTGAAAGAGGAGCTTGCTCTCTTCACCCCATGCATCGACCTAGCGCTGCAGTGCAGCTGGGAGTGGTGCACTCTCTGATGTTGTGGTAAAGCAATCCCACAAATTATACAAGGCACAAGGTTTCTAAGAGCCTGTATAAATTTTCAATGCCCAGCCACAGAGGTGAAAAAGAGAATTCTGGCACTATTAAACATGTCTGCAATGAACACTGGGCACAGTTGTGTGGGAAGTATTTCTTTGAAAGTTTTACAACAAATCGGCCTTTACTTGCCAAAGTCCGAACAATGCATAAACCGGTCATCCAAGTAGACAACGGGTCAGGGCTCACACTTCTTGTCCTCGTGGAAAAACAAGGGATAAGTATGGCTAAGAACTTTCTTTAAAACCGAAACTAGATAAGGCATGGAAATAAATTAGACTGGGCCGGGCTCCTGATTTTGTTCCAGGAAGGTTCACCGTAACAAAAACAGCTAGGCCCGCTTGCTGTCTGGATTATGAGGACAATAAAGCAACATGTACTCTGGTTTCTCTTCAGTCCGCATAAGTCTTTCGCCTTTTACTAAAGACTTCCGTGGAGAGTGACATTAATGAGCACAAGCAATTTATGCCAGGCTCTGCCTCTTGGCTATGCCTCTGTTTGGTTGTGCAATGTAATAAAAGCTCTTGTGTGGCCTTTCAAATTGCAAGTGGATGGGTCGAAATTGTTCTTTGAATCCCTCTCATATCTGCTTCTGACTGCATCACTATTTAGACAGCAGTAAACTATTTAGGGCTGCTTACCCTAACCTTTGCGTGGGCGGAGGTGCAAAGTGGCCGATGTCTGCTCCAAGTCACCACTACACTGTGATCTGTGGTCAGCGAGGCCCACGATCCAGCTAGGAGTCACTGTTATCTCTTTTCGGCCTTTTGGCTAAGATCAAGTGTAGTATCTGTTCTTATCAGCTTAATATCTTATATGTCCTCTATATGAGGACGACATATTAAACAGATTTTTTTGTATCAAGGGGTTGAAAGAGGAGCTTGCTCTCTTCACCCCAAGCATCGACCTAGCGCTGCAGTGCAGCTGGGAGTGGTGCACTCTCTGATGTTGTGGAAAAGCAATCCCACAAATTTTACAAGGCACAAGGTTTCTAAGAGCCTGTATAAAATTTCAATGCCCAGCCACGGAGGTGAAAAAGAGCATTCTGGCACAATTAAACATGTCTGCAAGAAGCACTGGGCACAGTTGTGTGGGAAGTATTTCTTTGAAAGTTTTACAACAAATCGGCCTTTACTTGCCAAAGTCCGAACAATGCATAAACCGGTCATCCAAGTAGACAACGGGTCAGGGCTCACACTTCTTGTCCTTGTGGAAAAACAAGGGATAAGTATGGCTAAGAACTTTCTTTAAAACCGAAACTAGATAAGGCATGGAAATAAATTAGACTGGGCCGGGCTCCTGATTTTGTTCCAGGAAGGTTCACCGTAACAAAAACAGCTAGGCCCGCTTGCTGTCTGGATTATGAGGACAATAAAGCAACATGTACTCTGGTTCCTCTTCAGTCCGCATAAGTCTTTCGCCTTTTACTAAAGACTTCCGTGGAGAGTGACATTAATGAGCATAAGCAATTTTTGCTAGGCTTTGCCTCTT